ACGCCAAGCAAAACCGTCAATCATATCCGCGCATGATATAAAATTAATCGTTTGCACCTTAAGATGCCGAAAACTTTGCAGTAGAATGTAAAAAATTTCTCATTTGTATTTCAAGGCGCATTCACACTAAAATTGTTCATTCTTTTTTATGTCTCAACCCTTCATGGGAAGCTTGTATTAATTCAATGGACAACCGACTGAATAAATCAATAGCATCACTAAACGCTTAACATGATCTTTCAAAGAATGTGCGATGGGTGCGCTGAAGGTTAGAAAAAGAGTTGAATTGAAACGGTATTGAATAAAGACTACGAGCTAGTGGTTGTCATAGAATGTGGACATACTGAGTGTTTTAAGTCAAGAAAATAGTTATAGGATACGGTGGTACTATCTGGATGCACAAACGGGAAAAGTTACCCGAGATGTTGAGATATTGAAATATAAGCGAAAAAAGGTTAAGTTCCGCTTAACTTCTATAAAGGAATTTAGCCTAACTAAAAAAAATGAGTGTTTAAACAATCTCTGCAATTGTTTAGTCATGACACAGTCTTTCGGATCAACTTGTACTTATTATATCTGCTAAAATGTAAAATGAAATTAGAAAAAAAACTTTTCCAAATGAAAAACTTTGGGATTCATGTCTAACATTGACAATATCACTTCTTTAATGATTTTGATGCGTCCATAACGCTTTTCTGTATTTACCTTTATTTTGATATCCAAAGTTATAACACACCATACAATTAATTGGTTAAATGTGTCTTCTTAAAACTAAGGAATATAAGTATGAGTATGATGGCCATAAAATCAGTAGGACATCATCATTTTCGAAGCAATAACATAAAGGTGTTAATTCTGTTAAATTATTTATGTTTATCTTACTACCTTTACATATAAAAGATCATAAATTTGAAATAGATATTTAACCAAATTTGATTACATAATACTTTTTATTTATTATTAGTGGCTAAAGTTATGTATACCACATGTATTGAAGAAGTGAAATCAATTTTGTTTTAAATCGTTCTCTATTTTAAACTTAGATGCATTTCGCCATCTTGAAGTTCAAAGATGAAAAAAGAATCAAACATTTCACTAAGTTCGTTAATAGTTAAATTGAGTTAATATGAGTTTATAATTTTTCTCTGTACCGATGTAATGCATTGTCTGTATGAGAATCAAAATATATATAGTCATTCAACCAGACATGGCAAAATTCAGTATTTTAGGTGGGCAGATTTCTTTTTTTTTTTCTTTTCTCTGTTTTTTTTTTCTTTTGTCTTATAAAATCAAATACTTCTATTTTTCTTAACAGAATTTGCATGTTTAGAAAAATATTCAAAGATTAAGAAAGAATTTTTTTCAATAGATACGCATATATAAAAATGTATAATAAAAACTAATTAAAATTATTATATTAAAACCCTAATAATTCTAATTTGATTCTAAACTCGGTTTCCTATTAAGTTACAAATTATTATACTATTGGATTAAAGCGTGGATATCGATCATCAAACATTCAAAACCTGTTGTGATCCGATATTTAATTATTTATGTACAAGTTGGCGTGCAAAAATCAACATGTTCCTCGGAAATACTGATAAACTCGTTTCCCTTTATAAGAACATTGAGTTACCTCCCTTTTTTGAGTACGAGTTGTCTTTCTTGACCGAACTAATAGTTCAGTATGTTTTTTTAAGAAACTTAAGTTGATCATGTTGATAGAGAGACTCTTTTTCTATGCCTTATCAGCTTTAAAAGGCTATATTGCCATGAGAGCTTTTTCAAAAACAAATATTTAAAAAAATTAAAAACCAATTGATCAGAGAACAATTGAAGGTCTTTCCACATCAATTTTCTAAATGATTGATAAGAAGCTACTTCCGGCTTACTCAAAGGTATTATTGGCGCCCAAGCATAGATTTTTTCATGGTGATTCAATAAATATATGGGTTCTTTATATTTTTGCCTGAAATAAGGGAGATAATTTGCTACTTCCGGTTTAAATAATGTCATATTCATTCTAATATGATAGCTTTATTCACACTGATTCCAAAAATATATGGTTTCTATATATGTTTGCCTGTAAGAAGGAAGATATTAGGTACTTCCGGTTAAATCAAGGTCACTTCCGGTCTCAAATGATAGGTTTCTGTATTGGTATTTAAAAAAATATAGTTTCCATGTATTTTTTTCATGAAATAAGTGCAAAAATGGCTACTTCCGGTTTACTTAAGGTCACTTCCGGTTGATAGTTTTCAAGGTCATATGTCACCCAACATTTTGCAAAAGACCCTATGGCTTTATCATGTACCAAATAGGAGGAGTAATCAATTACCCTTAAATTTAACCATTTCAGGGACAATAACTCCTATAAGATGTCATTGGATTGTTTCAGACCAAATGTATCATATCTCAATCACAATTAGGCAAACATTTTGCACTAGTTCTTTTATATATATCTTTAAAAGTGACAGAGGAAATCAAATAACAAGGAAAAGTCAAAATTTAGAATATGACCTTGACCTTTGACCTTGGCCTCAATTTCATTTGAATGAACCAAAGACCTCAAATCAATATACCTTAGGTATCTATCACTGACCATTCATGCTATACATTTATATATTCCTTTTTTAAAATACAAAAGGGGAAATAACTCTCATATGGAGTTATCGTATCGCTTCGGTCAAAATTGGACAAAACATTCTGAGGATATAACAAGCAATTTGGTAAAATATATTTGTCGTTTTATTTTACGGTTACTGAGGAGATACAGTCACAAGGAAAACAGTGTTCGGGGAGATAACTCCTACAAAGAAAAGTATTCGGTTAAGCAGGGTAAATTTCAAAGGCGCATAAACTGTTCGATATCATATACCAAACATCTAAGCGACATCTTGCGAAACAAAATTTATACGCAAGAAATAAAAGTGGCGGAAGAAGAAAAAAAAAATAAATAATAATTAAAAACCAATTGTTCAGAGAACAATTGAAGGTCTTTCCACTCATAAAGATCTATTTTGAAATAGAACTATTAAAATTTGGTGTAAAATATCATATTCAGCGTTTAATGATAGTTTATTGTACACTGATTCCAAAAATACATGATTTCTATACATTTTTTTCAAAATAAGGGAGATAAATTGTTACTTCCGGTTTGAAAGATGTCACTTCCGGTTTTATTTGATAGTTTACTTGATACTGATTCCAAAAATATATGGTTTAATATACTTTTACATTAAATAAGTACAAAAAATAGCTACTTCCGGTTTACACAAGGTCACTTCCGGTTGGCTTTTCCATGGTCAAGTGGCTTGCAACGTAATGCAAAAAGTCCTATGGCTTTATCACGTATACTAACGAGGAAAAAGCAAAGGTCAAAATCTAGAACGTCAAATTTACCTATGACCTTTAGCTCAATTTCAAGGTCATAAACCGAGGGCTTCAAATCAAAAGACCATAGGTCTTAATTATATATGGTTAATGAGTTATATCACTTTACGCCTAATTTTTAACATAAGAGGGGAGAAAACTCCAATTTAATGTTGGCGTACCATTTCAACCAAAATTTATGTGTTACGACATGTCGCAACTTACAATTTAGTAAAAATATCTTGTCGATATCTTATACGGTTTTTGAAAAGAAGTGAAAATAAGCCAAAATCAACATTTAAAATATGACCTTGACCTCTGACCTTAAAATTGAGAATGGAAATGGGGAACGTGTCAATGAGACAACAACCCGACCACAGAACAGACAACAGCAGAAGGCCACCAACAGGTCTTCAATGCAGCGAGAAATTCCCGCACCCGGAGGCGTCCTTCAGCTGGCCCCTAAATTTTCTTTTTTTTGGATCAAGGACCTCAAATCAAAAGATCCTTAGGTATCTATCACTTATGGTTTACAAGATAGAAATGCATATCACTAATAACAAATGCATAAGGGGAAATAACTCCCATATGGAATGTTCATATCGCTTCGGTCAAAATAGGACTGTATTTTTTCACCTAGCATTAGCAATGAGGCGAAATGTTATTGAAAACCAACTGTTTAAGGATTTAAAAGTGTACAAATACTAGAAGACTAACTTTAAGAGTGGTTTTAATTAATTTCCTAGCAAGCCACATCAACAGAAATGTCAATTTTTATCTAAATTGGAGTCATGCAAAATACAATCTACATTTAATTTTGATTGTAATGTTACACAGGTGCATCCCATGTTCAACATTACCTTCTCCTGAAACCACAGTCAAAACTGAAATAAGATTTGATTTAAATTAAAACTTTGCTCTGAGTGTTATTAATACACCTTATCGCTATTTGTCCGCCATTACTGGACATCACAAAAGTTCCCTTAAATTTTGACGTCATAATAGAAAATATCTGACGCCACAATGGAAAAGTGATTGTTGTATGACGTCAAAAGTTCAAGCGAGGCAGATTCTCGGGTCAAGCAGGAATAGCGATAAGGTGTATAGTTTTAAAAAGGGGTTTGAGAACTGCCATTTGTTGACAGTAGATATAGTCATGGTGAGCAACACAGGCTTCAAATAGTTCAAATTTTTTTTTTTGGGGTCTGCAGATACATTTAGCTAAGAAATCTTTCTAACTCTGATTGGCACATATTTATATTACATAAACTGTTTCAATGTTTATGTAAACTGTTTCAAATTTATTATGTTTATGTAAACTGTTTCAATGTTTATGTGTATGTCTCTGAAATCAGAGACAATTAAAAATATCTCCCCTTTAAACATGTGGGAACAGTAAATCACTGACTAAAGATAACAGATTGACTGGATTAATATTAAATGATCTTATTGCTTATGGAATTAGTCTGTGTTAAATTGGACAATCTGATATAATCAAATAATCTTTGATCAACACATCACAATTCATGAAAAAATAGTTAGTCAGAATGCCTTCCTTGAGATACAAACTGCTTAACACCAATCTGAACTTCAGTCAAAAATGATAAATTAAAGTATTGTGATTTCAGGATAATGATTTCTTCACTTTGCCTGACAGCAGACGACACTCTTTACAAATGTTGACACCTACAGGAAGTAGTGGGCATACACAATTTGGTAGTGTTCCTGACTTGAAGTTACTTGGAGCCATGAGTCTAGCTGAGTCCCCAATATCACCTAGTGATAGTATAAGCCTGCATGAAGAGAAAATAGCTGATACTGAGGTAGTAATAGAATTCCTCCAAATGAATTATAGAATTTGAGATAAAGTTATTAATAGGAGTATGTATTTGGTTAATGTTAATGTACAGCTGACTATGTATGAACTTATATTATACTGGAGAAAATATCCGAGCTAATCTTAATCAGTTACTTTGGCAGGGGATATTTTGCAAAAAAAAACCTCCAAGCAATCTTACATGTCTGTGAACCTATTCTCATTCGAGTGGATAATTCTATTTTTATACCCCATGCAACTTTCCCCACACAACAAAGTTGAAACTTTCTTGTTAATTTAGACATAATATGTAGATGTGCATATCCACAACAAATGTTTATCAGTTGACTTTTGTAGGTGTTAGTCTCTGAATCTGGTGAGATTTTGTTTGCCCAGTGACAATGTGGGGGCTGGGGGTACATGAGCGTGCTCACAATGGTTCTTTAAAATTAAATGTTTTATCTAAGGTTGCTTTTATAAATTTTGTTAAAAAATTTCCAAGCAACCTTACATGCCTGTAAACCTATTCTCTTGCAAGCTATAAAGGGCCCCAAAAATTACTAGTGTAAAACTATTCAAACGGGAAAACCAACGGTCTAATCTGTATAAAAAACGAGAAACGAGAAACACTTATGAACCACATCAACAAACGGCAACTACTGAACATCAGATTCCTGACTTAGGACAGGTGCAAACAATTGCAGCGGGTTTAAACGTTTTAATGGTATATATTATTTTTTATAAGTTTCTGTCTGTGGCTGAAACCAAAATTACTCGGACCTGGTTTGTCTACTTAAATTTTTGTCTCGCCTCAAGAAAGTCACAAAGATGAGACATAGGCCTTCAGTTTCCTGTGTAGGCAGCAGCATCAACAAATTGTGATGATGTCAGTTTAAGGGGAACCACTAATGGTATTTCTATGGTATTTGGTATGCAGTTGAAAAAAATTTGCACATCTCATTTCCAAGGAGATTATTTGGGCCTGCCCCCTTGGTCATGGTCTATTTAATTAGAAACTTAGCATAGTTTACATGTTGAAGTTTGTGATTAGGACAGTTTGAGTGAAACCACTAATGGTAATTCAATGATATTGGTATTTAGTTTTATAGTTATTAGATCATCTCATTTCCATGGAGATTATTTAGGCCTGCCCCCTCAGTCATTGCCTTTTAATTAGAAACTTAGCATAATAGAAAAACAAAGGATATGGGTATTCATCATAGTTTACATGTTGAAGTTTGTGATTAGGTCAGTTTAAGGGAAACCACTAATGGTAATTCAATGATATTGGTATGTAGTTTTAATAGCATTAGCATATCTCATTTTCATTGAAAGTATTTGGTCCTGCTCTCAGTCATGGTCTTTATTGACTTTAAAAGCTTTACATAGTTTGCATGTTAAAGTTTGTGGTTAGGTCAGTTTTAAGACAAATACCTCTATTATTTATGCCTAAATTCAAGTGCAACAGTATAATGCCGTAGACGGTTTATGACGTCGTGACTTTGCAAATTGGAGATGTTTTCTGAGAGTTATTCCCCTTTGATCAGATGAAGTAGAATGACATTTGTTTTGAAAGGTATATTTTCCAAAAAGTTGAAGTGTTCCTCAATTGGAAAAATATTTTGTTTGTTTCCCTTTTAGGATAAAAAAAACCTGCTATATATACACACATAAAAAAGAAGTAATCAAGGAAAAATGAAAAAGAAAAAGGAAGAAATATACACAAAAAGCAAACAAACAAATACCTTCGAGGAGGTGGTTACTCTCTATGAAAAGCAGATGTGTTGATGGAATGGGCTTCTTTTTTATATGAATAAAATGGAATGAGGGGTATACGTATACAGCAATCCAACAGAAAAAAAACACTGTCTGGAATTTGTTGCCTTCAGATTTTCTGCAATGTATTCCAAAGCAATTGCGAATATTTTAATAAATTCTCTAAGAGAAAAATATTGGTCAATTTTTTACAATACTGGATTTATTTATAGATATTTTATCATTAAAAAGGTGGGAAAATGTTTATAGCAACATATTTCATATAGATTTGTCCTACAGAAGATAATGATATCAATAATATAACTTCTACAAAAAATCAGGTTAACAAAACAAACAATTTTTGTGAGATATAGACTTTTTATGAAATATTACACCGCAAATAACTACAAGTTCCAATTTCCAAATTTTGTCAAAAAAAAACGTTATAAAACGAAAATGAGGTTGGTAACCTGATTTTGTTATTGGCTAATTGAAAAGCTTTTACTTAGGCTAAAGTGATAAATAAAACTTAAAGAAGATTATCATTGGTAGATATATTTGTATGCAATTGAAATAGCACTAGCATATGTCACTTCCATTGAACGTACTTGACTTGCCCCTACTGTAATTGTTCATTGGCTTCCGATGTTTTGCATAGTTTACATGTTAAAGTATTGCCATTTTACTATCAAAATTACACACAGACGAGACACATCTTTATGTCAACAGTTTATTGTCTCACTTGACAGAGTCAAAAAGCGAGACATAGGTATGCTGTTTCCGGTGTCGGTGGCGACGGTGGCGGGGTCAACAATGTATCAGTTTGTGATTAGGTCTAGTTCATGGTGAACCACTAGTGGTAGGTCAATGATATTTGGTATGCAGTTGTATTAGCATTGGCACATCTCATTACCATGGAGATTATTTGGCCCTGCCCCCTCAGTCAAGGACTATTGACTTTGAAACTTTTCTTAGTTTACATGTATTAGTTTGTGATTAGGTCAGTTTATTGGGAACCACTAGTGGTAGGTCAATGATATTTGGTGTGCAGTTGTATAAGCATTGGCATATCTCATTTCCATGGAGATTATTTGGCCCTGCCCCCTCAGTCATGGTCTATTGACTTTGAAACTTTTGCTTAGTTTTCATGTATTAGTTTGTGATTAGGTCAGTTTAAGGGGAACCGTTAGTGGTAGGTCAATGATAATTGGTATGTAGTTGTATAAGCATTAGCACATCTCATTTCCATGGAGAATATTTGGTCCTTACCCCTCAGTCATGGTCTATTGACTTTGAAACTTTTGCGTAGTTTACATGTATAAGTTTGTGATTAGGTCAGTTTAAGATGAACCACTAATGTTAAGTCAATGATATTTGGTATGAAGTTTCATTTCCATGGAGATTATATAACCCCAACCCCTAATTATGGTTCACTGACTTTGAAACTTTTACATAATTTACAACTTAATGTTTGTGTCTGAGGTTTGTTTAAGGGAACGACTTATGAAAAGTCAATGGTATTTGGTTTGCAGTTGTATTAGCATTGGCTACTCTCATTTCCATGGAGATTGTTTAGCCCTGTACCTTCAGTCATGGTTCATTGACTTTGAATATTTGCATAACTTACATGTTAAAGGATTACTGTTTTAATTTCAACATTTGCATTATCAAAATAACAAATAGGTGAGACATATCTCTGTGTTAACAGTTTATTCAATTACAAGTTAGTCTAGCTAGTCTTAAAACAAACACAAAAAAACCAAGGCAGATAGGGTGCAGCTCTCAGAATTAATTAATGTTAAGGTATTTTAATACATGTAGCAATTATGTTCTTGATATGCAAATAGAATGTTTTTTTCAAAAGAAATATATTTAATAATTTGCAACTTTATCTCAAAATAAAAGACTTTTCTTTAAATTTAAAAACACTATATAATTAATTAGCTGTGATTTTTTTTGTTCTGAAGGTAGCTTTGAACGTAACATAATAGACAACTGTAAGCACACTTACAATATATTTGTGTAAGGGTAACTTTTCACAGATATAATATTACAAGTTATATGGTTTGCCATTGACCCCCTACGAATCCATAGAGAGTTATTCTTTAAATTGTCAGTGCCAGTTATTTTCTGTTCTGTTCTGTAAATTATTTTATTTACGTCAGAAACCCAATCAAAGTTTTTATTAGCTTGGTTTAACATTGTGAACTTTCTTCTGATATCAAGTTCAAATACGTACCTCCCAAAATTAGTTTCAGTTCTCTAACTTTAGTTTGTCTCTACCATATGTTATAAAACTATTACACAATGCTTATTACCACAAAACACAGATCAAGTTCAAATATGGGTGGCGTCACTTTTACCGTTCTTGAGTAATGCTCCTTTATAATGTTTTATGCGAGAGGGGGCATCATCTGTGTACCATGGACACATTCTCCATTTATGTTACAAAGATCTCTATTAGAAGATAGGTATTATGATTGCACAATTGATGAAGTTTGAATTATTACATGTACTTGAATGCTTGGATGTCTTTTTGTAAATGATATCTGCTATGATAGATACATTCTGTTTGTATTCTTTTGTTTATGTTTTTTCAAGGACCAAAGGAAGAATTACTTTAACTATAAAAGATGATGCATGCAGTTATTTCACAAAAATTGGAGATTTAGCTTTTTTGTATAGCATGAGCTAACATTCCATAGAATATAAAAATGTAATATGTTTTTATTAACACATGTATATAACTATATATTATTCATTCAGCCACCAGAAGAAGATGGGATGCCCAAGTTACCATTGGTTACTTCCATTACAATCAAATCACCAAGACTCGAGGAGAGCAGACGATCAAGTGTGTCCTCTTGTTCTACGTAAGTTTATGTCAAGTTCTTTATTTTTGAACTCATATGATCATGAAATATTTATTAAATAACTAGAAACCCTCACATGATAGAAGCCTGTTGCAGAACCAATTCCATGTATATTTAGCACTTCAACTTTGGTATTGGTTGGCCTTCCAACTGTTTTGAATTAAGTGTCACTGATGAGTCTTATGTAGATGAAACTAGTGTCTGGCATAAAATATTGTTAGCCTGGTATCTGCGTCTGGCGCAAATAAAAAATTTCAATCCTGGTATCTATGATGAGTTTATTGGATGAGATTTCACAAACACTGGGTTGATGCGACTGCTGGTGGACATTTCGTATTGACATGAAATATCATTGATATGTTTGTAATGGCCTGACCGTTAAGTTTAACTGATGATTGGGCTCAGGCAAAAAAGACTATGAGGTGCTGATACTTTATTCCTAAACCGATCTAACAAATGGTAAAAAGCTGAAAATACAAAATGAAATACAATTTTACAATGTGTTGAATTAATGTTATAATGTAAGAAATGTCAAATATAAGTAATAGCACAGTCCATTGACCGCAAAATCAAGTTGTAATATAAAAGTGAAATTTCCAGTATATCACAGATAAAAGAGTACAAATATATGATGAGGGGTTTGAAGGCATCAAATACAAAGTTATAATGTAACTCACTCTGTGAATAGCCACAAATTGTGTCCAAGATGACGTTTGTCCTTAAATGTTCCTCAGTTCTGTAATGACCTTACAGTTCAATTTGAGATATGTGTGAGAAAGGGAACAGGTAACGATGATAACGATATTTTGATTTTATGGTTTAAACATGAATAATACTCCTAGATCAGGATCACATAAATTGATTGTGAAAATAATCAAACAAACTATATAAATTGTGGAATGTGTTTTCCAGAATAATGTTCATTTTTCTGTAAATTTACTGTTTATAAAATGTTGAATTATTCGAAACACCAAGGTTTTTCTACCCTGGGGTATAGAATTCCTTAGCCTTATTTGGCACAACTTTTTGAAATTTTTAGGTTTTTAATGCACATCAACTTAGTATTTTATTTGGCCTTCCAAATCTTTTGATAAGCGTGTCACTGATGAGTCTTATGTAGATGAAAAATGTGTCTGGTGTAAAAATTATAAGCATGGTATCTTTGAAGTGTTTTTATACGACCGCAAAAAAAATTTGCTGTCGTTTATTGGTATGACGATGGCGTCGTTGTTGTCGTCCGAAGACACATTGGTTTTCGCACTCTAACTTTAGTTTAAGTGAATGGATCTCTATGAAATTTTACCATAAGGTTCAATGCCACAAAAGGAAGGTTGGGATTGATTTTGGGGGTTATGGTACTAACAGTTAAGGAATTCAGGGCCAAAAATAAGCATTTTTGTAACTTCCAGACATAACTTGTGTGTTAGTGTATGGATCTCTCTGACATTGTACCACAAGGTTCCATATCACAAAGGGAATGCTGGGATTGATTTTGGGGGTAATTGCCTCAAAATTTTAGGACTTAGGGGCCAAAAAAGGGGCAAAAAACAAGCATTTTTCTAGTTTCATGAAAATAACTTGTGTCTAAGTGTATGGATCTTTCTGAAATTGTACTAAGAGGTTCCATATCACAAAGGGAAAGCTGGAATTGAGTTTGGGGGTAATTGCCCAAAACGTTTAGGAATAAGGGGCCAACAATAAGCATTTTTCAAGTTTCCAGACAATAAATTGTGTTTAAGTGTATGGATCTCTCTGAAATTGTACTGCAAGGTACCATACCACAAAGGGAAGGCTGGGATTGATTTTGGGGATAATTGCTTAAAAATTTTAGGAATTAGGAGCAAAAAAGGGGCAAAAAACAAGCATTTTTCTAGTTTCAGACAATAACTTGTGTGTAAGTGTATGGATCTTTATGAAATTGTACTACAAGGTTCCATATCACAAAGGGAAAGCTTGGTTTGAGTTTGGGGGTAATTGCCCTAAACGTTTAGGAATTTGGGGCCAAAAAGGGGCCTAAAAACAAGCATTTTTCTAGTTTCCAGACAATAACTTGTGTTCAAGTGTATGGATCTCTCTGAAAGGGAAGGCTGGGATTGAGTTTGGGGGTGATGAATCATAAGGGGGTTCAAAAAATTTGGGGGAGGGATTTTTTTTTCCTTTTTTTCCTTTTTTTTTCCTTTAAAATTTTCCATTTTAAATTGGTTATTTCTGATTTGTATATAAAAGCAAATAAAAATGATATGGTTTGAATAGGTAAATTAAAATTTTTTAAGTTCTTAGACCACATTCATTCTGTGTCAGAAACCTATGCTGTGTCAAATATTTTATCACAATCCAAATTCAGTGCTGTATCAAGCCTGAATGTTGTGTCCATACTTGCCCCAACTGTTCAGGGTTCGACCTCTGTGGTCGTATCAAGCTGCGCCCAGCGGAGCATTTTATTATATTTTATCAATACATGAGAATGTCTGTATTACCACTGCAAAATTATACCAGCTAGAAATGGTCACTCAACACTTCCACATTACAAATCTTAAATGGAATATAAACAGTATTATAATCCCCTGCTGCACGGCTCGGGGGATTCTAATGGTCTCTGTCCATTTGTTAGTCTGTTTGTCCATTTGCCATTAATACTCAAGAGATAATTTGACATACAATTTCATGCTTGGTAAGATTAATTATTCTGAAGGTCAAGTTCAATTTTCATGATTTTAGCTTTTCTCGTTGTTCATTTATAGCCCTTTCCAAAGAATTCAATTTTTGATGAATTAATCCAATTCTGTACAAAGGGAAATAACTCATTTTTTTAAAGATTTTTAAAAGACATGGTATAAATGATAAATGACATTTTGGATTATTTTTTCTTTTCTTTGGTAAATTGTTTGAAGAATTTTGTGGTAGGTTTGTTTGTTATTCTGTATAAACTAATTTTCTGAATGCTATATATATAATTTTTTTTTTAATTAGATAATAATCTATTTTTATTAAAGGATATATTTCATTAAATTACATTGTGTAGATAAAGTTGATAGATAAGTTGCAGATCTATATTAGTTTGTGACAAATGAAAGAAAACATATTTGGAACTATTTAATATATTAGATTATAATTTGAAAATAGATATACAATGTGTTACATCATATCTAATTTTAGAGAACTATTTTTAGTTGAAATCATATCTGTTAGAGTACTATGTTAACCCATATTTCTGTTCAAAGGGAAATAACTCAAACTTATTCCACGAACCAGTAATGATAACATCAAATTTCTTTCTAACTATTTTTTTTTAAGTCATGTGTGTTATGAAGGTAGATGTCACAGTTGTTATGTGGTATTTTATTTTTATACGACCGCAAACAAATTTTTGTGGTCGTATATTGGTATGACGTTGGCGTCGTCGTCGTCGTCGTCGTCGTCGTCTGGCGTCGTCCGGCGTTGTCCGAAGACACATTGGTTTTCGCACTCTAACTTTAGTTTAAGTGAATGGATCTCTATGAAATTTTACCACAAGGTTCAATACCACAAAAGGAAGGTTGGGATTGATTTTGGGGGTTATGGTACCAACAGTAAAGGAATTAGGGGCCAAAAAGGGGCCAAAAATAAGCATTTTTGTAACTTCCAGACATAACTTGTGTGTTAGTGTATGGATCTCTCTGACATTGTACCACAAGGTTCCATATCACAAAAGGAATGCTGGGATTGATTTTGGGGGTAATTGTCTCAATATTTTAGGAATTAGGGGCCAAAAAGGGCAAAAAACAAGCATTTTTCTAGTTTCAGGACAATAACTTGTGTGTAAGTGTATGGATCTTTCTGAAATTGTACTACAAGGTTCCATATCACAAAGGGAAAGCTGGGTTTGAGTTTGGGGGTAATTGCCCTAAACGTTTAGGAATTTGGGGCCAAAAAGGAGCCAAAAAACACATTTTTCTAGTTTCCAGACAATAACTTGTGTTCAAGTGTATGGATCTCTCTGAAATTGTACTGCAAGGTACCATTCCACAAAGGGAAGGCTGGGATTGCGTTTGGGGGTGATGAATCATAAGGGGGTTCAAAAAATTGGGGGGGGGGGGATTTTTTTTTTTTCCTTTTTTTTTTCTTTTAAAATTTTCCATTTTAAGTTGGTTATTTCTGATTTATATTTAAAAGCAAATAATAATGATATGGTAGGAGATACACACCAAACAGGATGTGTAACTTATTATATAATAAGTATTGTGCAATAGCAAGAAATTTTCAATTGTGCAGTATTGCACAATAGCAAGAAATCTTCAATTGCACAGTATTGCGCAATAGCAAGAAATCGTCAATTGCACAGTATTGCGCAATAGCAAGAAATATCCAATAGCACAATATTGCGCAATAGCAAGAAATTGTCAATTGTTCAGTATTGCGCAATAGCAAGAAATATTTAATTGCACAGTATTGTGCAAAAGAAGATACTTCGTATAAATTGCTTATTTCTTGACCAATTTCAATGGGGTTTTATTCTTGAATTCTTGGGTTTCTTTAATATGCTGATTCTAACCGTGTATTAAGTTTTTGGATTTTGGGCCCCGTTTTTAAATTGGTCCACATTGAGGTCCAAAGGGTCCAAAATTAAACTTTGTTTGACTTTAACAAAAATTGAATTCTTAGGGTTCTTTGATATGCTGAATCTAAACATGTATTTAGATTTTTGATTATGGGCCCAGTTTTCAAGTTGGTCCAAATCGGGGTCCAAAATTAAACTTTGTTTGATTTCAACAAAAATTGAATATATGGGGTTCTTTGATATGCCGAATCTAACCATGTATTTAGATTCTTAATTTTTGGTTCCGTTTTCAAATTGGTCTACATTAAGGTCCATAGGGGTCCAAAATTAAACTTAGTTTGATTTTAACAAAAATTGAATTCTTAGGGTTCTTTGATATGCTGAATCTAAACATGTATTTAGATTTTTGATTATGGGCCTAGTTTTCAAGTTGGTCCAAATCGGGGTCCAAAATTAAACTTTGTTTGATTTCAACAAAAATTGAATATGTGGGGTTCTTTGATATGCTGAATCTAACCATGTATTTAGATTTTTGATTTTTGGGCCGCGTTATCAACTTTGTCCACATTGAGGTCAAAAGGGTCCAAAATTAAACTTGGTTTGATTTCATCAAAAATTGAATTCTTGGGGTTCTTTGATATGCTGAATTTAACCATGTATTTAGATTTTGGATATTGGACCATAATAGGTGAATGTCCAATTTAAAATTTTTAAGTTCTTAGACCACATTCATTCTGTGTCAGAAACCTATGCTGTGTCAAATATTTAATCACAATCCAAATGCAAAGCTGTATCAAGCTTGAATGTTGTGTCCATACTTGCCCCAACTGTTCAGGGTTCGACCTCTGTGGTCGTATCAAGCTGCGCCCTGCGGAGCATTTTATTGTTGTGTGTGTTAATGTTTAATTTTTACATGATCCTGTTTGGGGTTCTGATTTGCAAATATCATTTTCATTATTAATTAGATAATAATCTGTTATAAATATTCATCACAATCTAAAAGAGGGACGAAAGATACCAGAGGGACAGTCAAACTCATAGATCGAAAACAAACTGACAACGCCATGGCCAAAAATAAATAGACAAACAGACAAATAATAGTACAGATGACACAACATAGAAAACTAAAGACTAAGCAACACGAACCCCACCAAAAACTGGGGATGATCTCAGGTGCTCCGGAAGGGTAAAATTCAGAGCTGTTTAAGCTTAAATATTGTGTCCATACTTGCTCAACTGTTCAGGGTTCGACCTCTGCAGGAAAATCCGGTTTGCTGTCACTCGACAGCCTCTCGTTATGGGAGCTATGGGACTTTGACCATTTTTTTGCCCTACTGAGTCTTTTATTTTTATAAAATATATTTTTACTATTAATAAGTTTTCTTTTAAATAATTTTTTAGTGCAATCATATTGGTTTGTTCCAATGATAATTTGCTTCTATAAATATAGAATTTTGTTAACAGAATTATTAAGTTTCTTATGTCATTTTTATCAATTTTTATTAGAATGCCAAATAAAACCAAATCAATATTTAAAGTTAGTTCTCTTTCTATCTTTTCAAATATCCAGGAGTTAAGGTCTTCCCATAATTTTGATATATACAGACAAGTCCAGAATATATGTTCTATTGTTTCAACCCCTCAGCACCCAAAACTACACTTATTTGTATCTTTAACTTTTATTTTAAAGAGAAGTTCATTCGTGCCTAAAATTCAATGTACTATTCTGTATTGAAACCACTGCAATTTTGAATTCTTGGTAATATAAAAGGGCAATATATGGATATTTTTCCAATTGTAGTTTGTATTGAGAATTAAGGACCATTTTTGTTCACATTTCTGTTTAAGGTTTGACTTTTAACTATTTAAAATATTATACATATCTTTTGAACCTCTCTGGGATTTAAAAAAAAAATTATAACTGAGGGCAAAACTGGGCCGTTTTCTCTCACTAAGTCAAAGGGACATGTATTATATTCTTTTAAATACTTTTTATTGCAGAAATTAAGCCTTGATATGTAAGGAAATTGTTTTGATACTGTATACATTTTTAAAGTTATCAAAAGTCATGAAATTTCCACATTCATCTAACAAGTCATTAAATTTTATATTATTATTAATCAGCCAAACCACTTTTTTAGTCCAATCTTTATATAAAACTGATTGATTACCAATCTTTATTTCATCATTCTTCCATATATTGCATGTGTTAATTTGAGAATTATCTTGTAAATTTTGAAGATCATTCCAAGCATCAAATACTTCTTTCCAAAATGGATTTTTCAGCTTTTTATAAGGGCCAAGAAATTGCATTTCCAAAAAATTCAAAGGAGTAGGTCCAGTAAGACCCCTTTTTGGCCCCAAAATATAGCAGTTTTACAAAATTGTTAAAATGTAAACTTTTAGCTATTTACTGAAAAATAGAATACTTCTGCTACATAAATTTGGGCTTTTTTTGACAATACAATGCACATATATCGGGTACTAACATCATTAATTCATGCTAAATTACTGAAATCTTCACAACTGTAGCATTTGAGTTAAATTTTAGACGGTTTCTGTCTTAAATGGAAGTGGCCGCATTTGTGTTCATTCTTTATATTGAAATGTAAGTTGTATTTGATGATAATACATAACATATATAAAGGTTGAGAGTGAACACGGATGCGGCCACTTTCGTTTTTGACAAAAACCATCTGAAAAGTGACATATTATGGCATATTTGATAGATTTTTCATATTTAAGCTTGAATTTGAGCATCTGAAATGACTAAATCAGTTCAAATCTTTCACATTAACTAATTGAATCGACTGAAATAGACACTTAAGTGTTTAAAAAGTGTCCAAAATCTTTCATCAGATGAACCTCAAATTTGAGGCCAAAATCGGCCCTTACTGGACCTACTCCTTTTCTGAAAAGAGGAATAGTTTCACAAGTTTTGAATTATTTCTATTTATTCTTCTTATCCAGGTTAATTTT